AGGACATAGATAAGAAGAAAAAATTATTTGTAAACAATGGACTGCTGGATGCCAGGAGGCATTATTAATGCATTATAAATGTCAAATATCTGCCACAAGGACACCAAGCTGGAAAGAATACAAAACTTGTAACTTGTTTTCTTTTCTGAACCTTATTTTTGTCCTAAAAATTAGCAACTGAGCAGAGTCAGGCAGCTCCAAGGTGCAGGAATCACGGAAAAGATGACTGTAGGATATAAAAATAATCAAGGTTCCTGTTACCATTCATACTTTTTCCAATAAACACAGTCATCAGATAAAGGACAGAAATAATCCTGGGAACAGTGTCCAGAACCCAGACCCCCCCCAGTGGATGCCCTAACCACTAGATTGCAGAGCCAGGCTTCTTTGTGGTCTTGCCTATGCTTCATAAACCCTTGCTTTATTTTCTTGTTCAAAAAGCAAGCAGGACCCATCTCTATACTATACTGTTTATTAAATAGGAATTTTAACTAGTTTTTATACAAATCATAGAAACACAGTTTGAATTCTTTTTTTTTTAAACACATCAATGAATCACAGTAAAAGCTCTTAAGTCATGTCCATATGCCCTGGCTCAGCCAGTGAATACCTTGAACTGCAAACCTTGGAAAAGTTCAATTTCTGCATACACTTCCTTAATGGTTTAATTCCCCAGCTCACCTCTTGACCCCTTCCCAAAAAATGAACTCAACAACGTTACAGCCCCCCTGTTAGCAACAATAACCCAACAGTGGGAGGGTGCGGAGGTAACACATATTTCAGCAAAGGCATTAACACTGCTTTTTAAAATTTATTTCTGAAAGGGGATTGCTAATGCACATGGATCAGCAAATAGTTTTTATTTGCAGATGAGGATGCAATGAATCGAATGCACTGATGTTTTTCCCTGTTAAAGTACAATCAGACACAGTTTTCTGTATTAGAACTTTAAAGCACCCAGCAGAGGTAAGTGAGGTATCAGCTATGCAGCATTATTGGCTTGCTTCTACTTAGCAAGTGTGCACATTCAGGTCCCTGTACCAGCCAACATGGAACAGAAAAGTGGGGCTTGTTCTGACGGTGGACACTTGTTCTGGTGTGCACAGCTTAGCTAGATCCATGCCAAATTAGTGCCAAGATCAGCAGTACTCTCCTGCCCTAATTCAAAGATACATTAACACTATTCTGGTCCCACATAATCATTCACATACACAATACATACAGAGAATTCACATGCGTGTGCAAACACACTGCTGAATATACGTACATACAAACTCTCCTCTCTGTACGCCTACTAGACACTGTTACATTACCTTTCTTAATATATATTTTTGTCTATTGTTTCTCTAAATCAACTTTCATACGTATAGTCCTTTCCTATTAACCCTTCTTCTTTCATGTGAGCAGAAGGGGGATAAAGTTGTTTGCGAGAGTAGCAGCAATCCATTTTTAAAATGGTCGGATACATTTTGCTATTACTGTGCATGTGTTTCTTGTAGATTAGAAAAATAAAGTACAGTTTTTGTGTGAAGAATGCCAAGTAGGTAAAGTGACCAGATTTTCAAAACAAAATACTTGGGACACTTTTGTGACTATGTTTTATAGGGTCACAAAATAGACGCACAATAGACCGAAGTGAATCACAGAAAAGAAACAGGGTGTAGTGACGATGCAACTGCTAGCTTTTTTGTCAGCAGTGATTTATTTGTGCTGATTTCTTTGAGTGGAGGTTTCTCCCCTCATAACTCACTGTCTGAATGAGCTTTCCATAAAAGCACTGAACAAGTGCCATTACCGCTCACCACTCTCACTCTGAAGCGAAGGACAGCTTTGAGAGTATCCACACATATACAACTTCTTTTCCCTTAGCTCCAAATGCTGTTCATCACACAAAATACCTATTCTACTGGATGGTTTTCTTCCTAGTAAACAGAGCAAGTTCTACTGCACATAACATTATGCCCTGCGCACTCAGTAATTGTTTTTTTGAAAAAGTTGATGGATAAAGTAACAAACTGGGACATGCCAGATGATTAAAAAATGATCCTGGAAGATTTTATTTAAAAAAAAAAAAAAGACTTATGGTCACTTTAAGAAGAAACTTGCTGGCATGGTTTTTCAGTTCTTGCTTACATATGGCCTACCCATATGGCAGCATTAATATAGACAACCTAACTGTATTAAAATGGAAAGAAAAGGCCTTAATTTGATACCTGGCATTTAAAATCTTTTTTCTGCATCAAATTATTTTCATAGCACTTCCCACATATGGCACAGTTCTATATGTATAGATATAAACCATTAAACAATATATCAAGACCACTTGAAAGGACAAGGACAAGACGTCTTCGGTCAGGCTCTACGCAGTAGAGATCCAATAAAAATAGCACTATGACAAGGAAAAAGAGGGGAAAGGATGAATGCCTTACTTCTAGTTTGATACAGTACTGCTCTCTCTACGCAGAAGAAAAATACTTTCCCTAAGGCACTTGATTAAAACAAAAACAAAACACCTCATAAATGAACTCTTTTGTTGTCAACAGGTCAGAAGCAGAGTAGCTTTTTTCTGAAGGAATGAGAAGATGGCAGCATTTTGGTCCAAGCTGCTTACTTGATATTCAAGCTGGAGTCTTACAGCTCATATATGACTCCATCGAAAACAGGAGTTGCCATAACCCAGAGGAGAAAGAATGGTTACTGACTTAGTGAGGGAGTCAATTAATCTAAGTGCATTTGGGGGCATCTTATCTTGAACCTCCATCCTACGCCATTGTGATGGTGGGGCAGTAGTTCAGTTTTCTTACACTGTAACTCTTTTTTTCCCCATTCCAATTCTGAGTGGCTACTGCATTATCAAAGACGTTAAATATATATATTGCAGCCCATTCAGAAAAGCTCTCTCCTGAGTCTTGGGAACCTTAGAATTGCGTCTTTTGTTTGCTACAATTTTCTCGTTATAAAAAGAACAGGATTAAAAGGGAAAAAAAGAAGTAAAAGAAAGAGCCCTCCTGATCATGAAGGCCTCTGCTATTTCAATCCAAGATCTGGATTTAATAAATGGCTCTTATTCACAAATCGCTTTAAGGCTCGTCAGCTTCTCTCAAAGAGGTGCTTCCACACACAAGGTTTCTTTTCTATTTTGTTTCTTAATCTCTTGAGAAAGCACTGCTGTTTCCATTGATTCTAAAACTGGTGTAATTTTTCCCCCTGTTACCTGGATAAGGAAAGTTAAAGGCAACAACATGCTTTCATTTTAGGACTAGAAACTGCAGCTTGCCCGGTTTGTATGAGGTGCACAAATCTCTTAACGCAAAAGAATATCTGAATGGGGTATAAGCTGGATGAGATTTTTTGTGTGGTTTTCTTCTAAAGACAGAATGGCTGAAAAATCCCTCAGCCTTCTCAGCAATCTATTAGAGAAAAGAAGTGGGAAATAATGATCAACATTTTTTTCTCACATCCAAAGGTAGGCCAACATTTTCTCTGACATCTCTCAATCATTCACATATGAAAAAAAACAACAACAACAAAAAACAAGCATCTGAGCTCCTTTCCTCGCCCAGCACAGTTCTCATCATTAAAATAATTATTCAGATCCCGTAGTCCTTGCAGATTGTAATCCACTCTCTGGCATGTAGAACTACAGTGTATGACAGGGGAATCACATCCTTACTGCCTTCAGTATTCCATATTGGTTTGTTTGAGATTATGGCATTCTGTTCCCACAGAAAAAAGTAATCTTCGCCAGCCGCTCATGCTGGAATGAAATGTCAAATGTGATCCTGGTGCAATCAGTCATGCCTCAGAGCAGCACTTCTGGTGGTTCATTTTGACCTTGTGCTTGATGCCATCATAGAGCTCAAAGTTGTAGTTCTCTAGAGTAGTGGAGCTTCGAGAAGATAGACCAGTGTAGGAGCACGTACAGTATAGCAGTAAACCAGCACAAATGGCCCCTAAGAGAACTCCAAGAGAACTCATAGCTATAATGGTGACTAGGATCGGATCCAGCGTGTACAGCCAGCTCTTGTCTTTGTCCAGCTTTGGGGTTATGGGAGAGTTAGTAGAGAACAATGTGTTGTTCTTATCTAATCCAAAGTAATCTGGAATATAATTGACATTTATTAGCCAGAGATCAGGGTTTTTTTTTACCAATATCCATTTCCTGGATATACTTATACATAGCTCTGATTGTATATGCAGGTCCAATTTGGGCTGGAGTGATGATGGGTATAAATAAACAGAACTCTAAAGTCAATAGAGTTGTATCAATTGACACTAGGTGAGGATCTGGCCTTTGAGAAGTGTATTTGGTGTCAGTATTATTGCACTATAGAAACGACCTCTAAGAGGTGCATATCTGTTATGTGTCACAGCTTCCGAACCTAACGGGCTCCATTTATGAGTGAAAATGAAATACAAGCTCCAGTTCATGCTTGGAAGATCAGTTCTGCTTGTGTTACAGTAAACACAATATATTGACTTTGGAGTTCTCCGAGTCTTTAAAAAAAAGGCTTTTCTGTCTACAAACTTGAATGACATATATCAGTAATGGGGGTGCTTTTGATTAGTAAAAGGGCCCAGATCCTGACATGATTAAGGTACCTAAACAATTCTGTCAGTGGGAGTTAAGCACCAAATAACTTTATAAAGATGTGGGCACAGGTACTTGTTTTTATATGCTCACTTTGCTTACTAAACCACGCTCTAAGCCCTTCAAAAACATATAGACAAGGTGTTAAGTAGACTTCGGCATGCAAATAAGTATACCAGTGTTGATTGTAAGGGCTTTTAATCTGTAGAAAGCACTTCTTTCTAGAGAGTCTGATCCTACAGCATCAAAACCACTAGGAAATGTTGCCATTTATTTCAACAAGTACTGGAACAGGTCATAGTTCTTATGCTATATCAGTTTTGGGTTTTGCTGAAGATGTGCCTGTTATTTATCACTGCTAGAATGCTTTTCCATCAGTAACTGAGGGGGTGCTGATACTTACAAACACTTTGTATGTTCAAAACCCTGTGTACTCATATTACATAATCCGTCCAATATTCCCAGTGAAACAGGTGGGTAAGTATAACCATCCCAAATATGCACGGCATGAACTTCCTGCCTTCAAACCCCATGCATATAGAGACGTATGGGCCAGATCTAGAGGTGGTATGAAATAAGTAACTTCAGTGGAGCTGTACTGATTCACTAACTGAAGATTGGTCCCACTATTCTGTAACCTTCTGTGTGCTGTCAACTCCTGAGAGTGAGGGAGAATTAACTGGTTTGAAAAAAAATGGCCAAACCTTGTTCCAATTCTCCGTAAGTCTACAAGTGCCTCCTACCATTGCTGAAATCCACCAAGAGGTTTTCAGTGATTCTGTTGGTGTCTTATGGACTGGGATGGCTGCTGCCTTAATAAATAATATTTAGCAATTCCACGGATTGTTTTATGTACGCACCTCAAACTGAGTGTTACCAAGGAGAGGAAGAAAATGATCGTCCCTATTTGGCATAAAGGGAATCTGAAGCAAAGATTCAGACTTGCCATACAAAGGTTAGTAGCACAGTCAGACTAAAGCTTGGCTTTTTCTGACTCCTAGTCCTCTGCTGTAGACCACACTGGCTGTATCTACACAAGATGGTGGCTGCGCAGTCATTACTGTGTGGTCGTTTAAACAAGTGCTAAACGACCACATAGTAACCTGAGTTACTGCACAATAGCACTGATTAATGCCTTTTTTGTGATGCTACTATGCAGTAGCCTAATACTACTTTGCAGTAGTGTCACATCCCTGTTTTTGCCATGTGACTCTACTGCACAGTAGTATCAGGCTACGGCACAGTCAGCATCTCATGCAGATGCAGTCACTATCTCCTTATCTTTTCCAACAATCCACACCTCCCCTGGGCAGAGGTAGCTGAGGGAGAATAGGAAATGTGAGATATTGGGACCAGGTAAAAGGAGAAGGAATGAATGGGTTCATTGGTATTTGGAAGAGAAACTAGAAAGAAGATGAAACAGATTCCAAGTATCCTCTTTCTTTGAGGTTTGTGGCTTGCCTTTAGATCTAGAGGGGTCAGATTAGTTCACTGGGTCCATATCCCTAATAAAAAATTGTGGATTGTGCCCACAATAAATAACAATAAAGCATAATAATAATAATAATAAAGGTAATAAAACACAATGCTATCCTACACCAGTTGTGTGATTGTTTTAGTACTCACCATCATCAAAGTTCTCTCCAATGCCTTGCCCAGGGATTGCAAAATCATTAAACCTTGGGAAGTCCACTACAATGACAAAAAACACATACATAGACTTTGTTAAAAAGATGTATTTTTTGGCTGTTGAAAACAGTTACTTTGTTATGAGATCTACCAGAAAATAATGTAATCAAGTTTTCCATAGCTATGGCCAAAGTAAGTGAATACTTTTGAGTGTACAACAGAAGAGGTGCTTCATGCTACTCACATTTCATTTCCACCAAATGACCAGATTTTAAAGGAAAAATGGGGAGAATTGAAAGAAAGAAACTGCATAATTTGAATACCATTAAATTATTGTCACTGGTGCCTTCATAATGGCCATAATTCATTATTAACATGGCCATAGGTATTATCCTCATAACTATCAACAGTATCTTAGTGCCCATCATTAGATGCCATTAATGCTAGATCCATTTAGCACACTCCACTTTTCATCATCCCACATACATCTTAGTGGATACAAAGCCCCAATGACCCGCTTTCTCTTTAGATTTCGAATAAATTCAGAGTAATTTAAGGAAGTCATGTATCACCATTACATATTTTTAATGCAAAAAACTGGTTGAGATGAGGAGAGCTGTAAATGGGAGTCCATCTAGGCATTTATGTTAACATCTCTCTGATGCAAGCTCCTTTTAGTGGTGACATTTCTTTTTATTGTTAGCATAGATCAAACACAACTAACAAAATGTACTTGGCGGACTCTGAGCAGAAGTTACTTATTTAGCAGCGTAGCATTCCCAGTATTATCTCTATGTATAGGAACTGTTTTTTCTTTTCAATGCAACATTCCAAAAGAAAATACCTTTTTATTTCAATTTGCCTACATTTTCACAACTATGATTTTGGGAGCCTGAATGTTTGGTGTTCAACTGGAAGTGCAACATGTGCCTAAAATATAATATGCCATTGTTGCAATGTTCTTTTAAAAAAATCCAAGCAGATTATTAGAACAGTAATAAAGCATTTGTTATGAGAAACTTCAAAGATTAATGTATATGCAGGTGCCTGTTTACAAGAATTTGCATAGGACTGTACTATTTTTAATAAATCCAGCTTAAGTCTAGGAATCTAGTTTCTCTCTCAGAATGACACAACATGTTCATTATACTATAAAATGACTTTGCTCCATGGTAAAAATGTAGAAGACATGCAATGCTCAGCATGCACCACAGTAGGTTACTCTGCTCTGGGGTAAGTTATATCTCAGAGGGCGCGTCTGCACGAGATGCTTAATGCACAGAAGTCTAATTCTACTGGGCATTAGATGGTGGACAAAGCCCGTGCTAATGTGCTAATGCCCAGTAGATTTAGTATAATGCACATAACATCACTAAAAAGGTGCTCATCTGCACTAATGCGCAGTAGCACTGATTATGGTGCATTAAGTTAGTACCTGTTAGAACAGGTACTAAACTTAATGTGTCATAATTATGGCACATTAATGAACGTGTAGACATGCCCTCTAAGCGCATCTACATGCAACATTTACTACAGAGGAAACTAATCAGCTCTGCAGTGAATGTCTCAATGTCTATGCATCCAGGGCTATTAGGCTGGAGTAAACTAATAAACTCCACGGCAATGAAGCACCCTTGTGCCCCATCCAGTCCCTCTGCAGCACATTAAGCTGAGTTGAAGTAGCTTGCAGCCCTGGGCTGGCAGGCTTACCCCTGTAGTTTATTGCACCAGAGTTTATTGCTTTGAATTAACACCATATGTAGATGCACCCAGAAAGTGAAAAGCAGTTATATCTTGGGTGTAAGTTATATTGGGTGTACTAGATGTCAATTCCTTCAGTCAGTGTTATCCTAGGATCGCCACAGCTTACTGGAAAATCAATTCCCCTTCCATCTAGTGGCCAGAAACTGTTAATAGAGTCTACAGCAGGCAGCAAACTTGGGAGAATACATTCACAACAACCAAAGGTAAATTACTCTGCAGTAATTGTGTTGCGTTTCTGCATGCTAAAATTGAGATGAGAGGAGAAAACATACACTTCTCCATTGAGCAGTATGAATTTTAACCCATCAGCATTTATCAAGAATAAAATAACTTCAGTGCCTTGGCATACAAAATCAACATTTGATCCATCATTGCTTCCACTGGCATTACCTTTGGAATCCTGGTGTATATCAGCAGCCCTGCTGACAGTGTCCCAGTTTCATTGAAAGGTCTATTTGGAGATTGATTGCAATAAGCTTAAACACTTGAGTTAATGTTATTATTTCTCCAAATACTTGTTATCACAGCATTGCTGCTTACCTTCATTATTCAAATGATTAAAAGATTTCTTTGAATTTTCAAGGCAATTTGGAACTACGAACACACAAGAGACAAGTTGTGTCCTTCATGATTGATCAGCTCTGAATCTAGAGACCCAATTAATTAAGCTGATTCTTTGCAATCAATAGCTTCTCAAAAAACAAAAGTGCATAACATTTTTCAAGAAGTAATCATTTTTAGGAGCAAATTCACATGATTTTTCAATACTTCCAGGGCTGACAGGTCCAGATGGAAACATCTTACAATTGGAAGAAATGCCCGAGGGCCTTCTGCAAATATTTAAACTTTATGCATAGAAAATAGCTTGCAAAATAATTCACATTTGAAGATGTCTGCTGTGGTAGTCATCAGTCAAGAGGCAAAGGGGCCAAACTGTGCTGTAGGTTACAATCATGCAACACCACTTACCTCATAGGTTACATGAACATAAGTGAAGGTAGAACTTGGCCCAGTGTCAAGAGGAAATCTGCATACAGAAGTAAGGCAGTGGTGGAGTCACCTGCCTCTGGTAGTCAAAAGGCTCTTCACTTTGAGTGAAAATGTATTAGAAATGTGACTTTACTTTTTGTTTCTTCTGGGTAATTTTGGTGAGAGAGGGGGAACTAAAGGAATATCAGATAATCAACACTTTCAGCAGAACATCAATTCTCCAAGCCTTAAAGGAAGAATTGAGCACAGGGGAAAACTTGAATAAAGAGAACATTTATAAAAAAAGAAAAAAAAAACTATTTACTCTGCTAGCAATTTCCTCTATTCCCTTTGCTAATATTGCTGATATTTGTGTTTAAAAGCTTTCTCCCTCACAATCTGTTTCCTTTTTCAGCTCTCTCCTGTACTGCAGGCATAATCCTTTGTTTACCACATGATAGTCCATGGCCATCAACTTCTACATTCTGCTATTTATGAATCTATTATCCATGCCAGAGTATCTCAAACGATTAGCAACATTGCCCATGGCTATTTGGTGGCATGTGGGAAAAGAATCTGGTGGTCTGAGTTCTGTGCCTAGTGGCATGTTTTCTCCTAACAGAAGACACTGCTATATTTGGCACTAACTACCATCCTAAAATGACACATGTCAACAGAGATGTCAGGCATTAAAGGGGCCATGAGCTCTGACCCCTTGCCCATAGTCCCTTCAAGTCAAGTTGGTTGTTGTGCAGTGTGGGGGAAAATGAACTGTCAATGTGTTGTCCTGACCTGTCCTCTCAAGAAACAGAGATTTTCATTTTCATAGGGCCATCAACCTGGCATCTATCATGTGTATGGAGGTAGTGTAAGAGTGAAGTTGTAACTATGATGGTTCAGGATCTATGCACATGGCAAGGATTTCTTAGGGTGATATTTTTTATTGGGCCAACTATGTAGTTGGGATAAAGTTAGACAAAAGCTTTCAAATGCAAAACATTCTTCATCAGGTTCTATGATTTTATGACCAAGACGAAGAACATCTTTCATTCAAAAGCTTGTCTAACTTGATCCCAGCTACACAGTTGGTCCAATAAAAGATGTCACCCTAAGAAATCATTGCCACTTGCATGTAGTAAGTTTACTTGAAATTTGGAATGAAGAAAGAAAGATTAGGGAAAGCTATGCAAAATGGTAAGTGAAACTATTTAAGCATGATGCATTTGAAAGCTTTCCCCAGAGTGAAAGGCCCCTTTTAGGAAAATGTCCTGAATTATGGCTCTGAACCTCAAGCTATTCATGCTGAAAAGCAGTAAAGATGAAGCCAACATAAGTGATGTCTTTCGAAATGGCTGGATGCCTAGCAGAGACAGTTATCTATCGTATCTGAGATCACCACGAGCTAAAAGGCTAATTTATGAAACCTTAAAAAGGAAGATGAGGTTTTAATCAAAGTACAAGAAACAGCTTAAGTAGAATGTTCGTATCAGCTCACGAAGACCTGTGGGGGCTAGCAGCACAGAGCTGGTATTTGCAGTGATTAAGGAGATTTAATGCACACTGCTTTGAAAAAAAGGACTGAACATTTGGAGTGATGGTAGAGGATATGATATGGAGAAAGGTTAGTTTCAGAACTAACTTATTTGCTGTTTTAGGTCATAATGGGAATACTTCATCAGTAAAAACAACAGAGATATGTCAGCATGCTCTATTACACTTATACCTGGGCACGTGTCATTTAGGGCAGGGTAAATAGCTCTCAGACCTGCTTCTGGCTAGGCAGTTCATGCGTATTACACAGCAGCTCCTACCTTTGCCTTCCACCACCACAATATCTGAAAAGCAGCCTGCCTCAAAAAGCCTATTTATCATCACACAGACTTCTCATTGGTGGCTTTTGGACGAAGCACACAACTTCTGTTTGAGCTACAGTACATTTTTTACAAAGAAATCCAGTCTTGATTTAAAGTATTCAAGTAATGGAGAATCACTACACCCCATGATAACTTGTTCCAGTGGCTAATTACCTCAGTGTTTAAAAAAGAAAAAAAGCATCTTGTTTCTAAGCTGAATTGTTTCATTTCAGCTTCAAGCCATTGTTTTTGTGCTTTATTCTATAGGACTAAAGAGCTATCTACTGTCAGAAATCTCTGCTCGTGCAGGTATTTTAAGACAGTGATGAGGTCAGTTCTTAACCTTCCCTTGGACATACTAAATAAATGGATTGCATTTTTTAAATCTTTCCTATAAGGCAAGCTGTTGAGACCTCAAATGATTCTTGTAGGTCTTTTCTGAATCCTTTCCCTTTTCTAACAATCCTTTTTTTGAAG